TCATAACGATCCAGAAACAAAGCTAAATCTAGTGGATCAGTAACTTCTTGGCGTGTATCAAAAATATTAAAGAGAACTTCACTGACCGGGAATCGAACCCGGGCCGCGGCGGTGAGAGCGCCGAATCCTGACCACTAGACCATCAGGGACACACAACCTCATTGTTTTTTGGCCTTTTTTTGCCATTTTTAAATGCTATTACTTTTAATCATATTTCCTGCTAATTTCCAGTAATGTCTTTTTGATTATCTAGAAGAGCAAAACTCAAATTATATTACTTTTAGAAAACTTTATAGTATTAAATTTTCTGCACTCCCAGCATTGACCTTGATGTGACTTGAACACACAACCTTTTGATCTGGTGTCAGACACGCTACCGTTGCACCACAAGGTCTTAAATGATGATTTCTGGAAGAAGGCTCATAACGATCCAGAAACAAATCTGAATCTAGTGGATCAGTATCATGTTGTCCTGTATAAAAAATATTAAAAGTCACTTCCCTGACCGGGATTCGAACCCGGCCCACGGCGGTGAGAGCGCCGAATCCTGACCACTAGACCATCAGGGACATACTACCTCATTGTTTTTTGGCCATTTTTTTGTCATTTTTAAATGCTATCACTTTTAATCATATTGATTTGGACACACAACCTTCTGATCTGGAATCAGATGCACTACCGTTGCACCACAAGGTCTTTAATGAGGATATCTGCAAGAAGGCTCATAACGATCCAGAAACAAATCTAAATCTAGTGGATCAGTAACTTCTTGGCGTGTATCAAAAATATTAAAGAGAACTTCACTGACCGGGAATCGAACCCGGGCCGCGGCGGTGAGAGCGCCGAATCCTGACCACTAGACCATCAGGGACACACAACCTCATTGTTTTTTGGCCTTTTTTTGTCATTTTTAAATGCTATCACTTTTAATCATGTTGATTTGGACACACAACCTTCTGATCTGGAGTCTGATGCACTACCGTTGCACCACAAGGTCTTATACAAGGATTTCTGGAAGAAGGCTCATAACGATCCAGAAACAAATCCGAATCTAGTGGATCAGTAACATCTTGTCGATTAACAAAAATATTAAAGTGAACTTCCCTGACCGGGAATCGAACCCGGGCCACGGCGGAGAAAGCACCAAATCCTGACCACTAGACCATCAGGGACACACAATCATGAATACTTTTTCGGCCATCCTTTTTTTTTGCCATTTTTAAATGCTATTACTTTTAATCATATTTCCTGCTAATTTCCAGTAATGTCTTTTTGATTATCTAGAAGAGCAAAACTCAAATTATATTACGTTTAGAAAACTCTATAATATTAAAGTTTTCTGCACTCCCAGCATTGACCTTGATGTGACTTGAACACACAACCTTTTGATCTGGTGTCAGACACGCTACCGTTGCACCACAAGGTCTTATATGATGATTTCTGGAAGAAGGCTCATAACGATCCAGAAACAAATCTGAATCTAGTGGATCAGTATCATGTTGTCCTGTATAAAAAATATTAAAAGTCACTTCCCTGACCGGGATTCGAACCCGGCCCGCGGCGGTGAGAGCGCCGAATCCTGACCACTAGACCATCAGGGACACACAACCTCACTGTTTTTTGGCCATTTTTTTGTCATTTTTAAATGCTATCACTTTTAATCATATTGATTTGGACACACAACCTTCTGATCTGGAATCAGATGCACTACATTTGCACCACAAGGTCTTATACGATGATTTCTGGAAGAAGGCTCATAACGATCCAGAAACAAATCTGAATCTATTGGATCAGTATCATGTTGTCCTGTATAAAAAATATTAAAGTCAATTCCCTGACCAGGAATCGAACTCGGACCGTGGCAGTGAGAGCGCTGAATCCTGACCACTAGAACATCAGGGACACACTACCTCATTGTTTTTTGGCCATTTTTTTGTCTTTTTTAAATGCTATCACTTTTAATCATATTGATTTGGACACACAACCTTCTGATCTGGAATCAGATGCACTACCGTTGCACCACAAGGTCTTATACGAGGATTTCTGGAAGAAGGCTCATAACGATCCAGAAACAAATCTGAATCTAGTGGATCAGTATCATGTTGTCCTGTATAAAAAATATTAAAAGTCACTTCCCTGACCGGGAATCGAACCTGGGCCGCGGCGGTGAGAGCGCCGAATCCTGACCACTAGACCATCAGGGACACACAACCTCATTGTTTTTTGGCCTTTTTTTGTCATTTTTAAATGCTATCACTTTTAATCATATTGATTTGGAAACACAACCTTCTGATCTGGAATCAGATGCACTACCGTTGCACCACAAGGTCTTATATGAGGATTTCTGGAAGAAGGCTCATAACGATCCAGAAAAAAATCAGAATCTATTGGATCAGTAACTTCTTGTCGTGTAACAAAAATATTAAAGTGAACTTCCCTGACCGGGAATCGAACCCGGGCCACGGCGGTGAAAGCGCCAAATACTGACCACTAGACCATCAGGGACACACAATCATGAATATTTTTTCGGCCATCATTTTTTATTGCCATTTTTAAATGCTATCACTTTTATTCATATTTCCTGCTAATTTCCAGTAATGTCTTTTTGATTATCTAGAAGAGCAAAACTCAAATTATATTACTTTTAGAAAACTTTATAGTATTAAAGTTTTCTACACTCCCAGCATTGACCTTGATGTGACTTGAACACACAAACTTTTGATCTGGTGTCAGACGCGCTACCGTTGCGCCACAAGGTCTTATTATCATATTTTAATGAAGAAGGCTCATAACGATTCAGAAACAAATCTGAATCTATTGGATTAGAATCATGTTGTCCTGTATAAAAAATATTAAAAGTCACTTCCCTGACCGGGAATCATACCCGGGCCGCGGCAATGAGAGCGCCGAATCCTGACCACTAGACCATCAGGGACAACCAACCTCATTGTTTTTGCTATCACTATATAAATGCTATCACTTTTAATCATATTGATTTGGAAACCCAACCTTCTGATCTGGAATCAGATGCACTACCGTTGCACCACAAGGTCTTTAACGAGGATTTCTGGAAGAAGGCTCATAACGATCCAGAAACAAATTTAAATCTAGTGGATCAGTAACTTCTTGTCGTGTATCAAAAATATTAAAGGGAACTTCCCTGACCGGGAATCGAACCCATGCCACGGCGGTGAGACCGCTGAATCCTGACCACTAGACCATCAGGGACACACAACCTCATTGTTTTTTGGCCATTTTTTTTTGTCATTTTTAAATGCTATCACTTTTAATCATATTGATTTGGACACACAACCTTCTGATCTGGAATCAGATGCACTACCGTTGCACCACAAGGTCTTATACGATGATTTCTGGAAGAAGGCTCATAACGATCCAGAAATAAATCTAAATCTAGTGGATCAGTATCTTGTTGTCCTGTATACAAAATATTAAAAGTCACTTCCCTGTCCGGAATCGAACCCGGGCTGCGGCAGTGAGAGCGCCGAATCCTGACCACTAGACCATCAGGGACACACAACCTCATTGTTTTTTGGCCATTTTTTTGTCATTTTTAAATGCTTTCACTTTTAATCATATTGATTTGGACACACAACCTTCTGATCTGGAATCAGATGCACTACCGTTGCACCACAAGGTCTTATACGAGGATTTCTGGAAGAAGGCTCATAACGATCCAGAAAAAAATCTGAATCTATTGGATCAGTATCATGTTGTCCTGTATAAAAAATATTAAAAGTCACTTCCCTGAC